CCCCAAAACCCCAAAACCCCAAAACCCCAAAACCCCTTTTTTTCATATTTGATAACAAAATTGATTACTATATATTCTAAATAAATTTAATGCTATTTATAGCGGGTTAATTAGTAGTATTAGACCTTAAATCAAATTTGTAACCATTTTTTTAGTCTCTCATTTGTCATGAAAAGTATAGCGGTAGCAGGTATAACTTTCAAGTAGCAAGGTACGAGACCCTTGAAAAGTCCTTTTGGACCCTCTTTTTCAACGATCTTATTAATGACATCAACAACCCCTTTATATGATTCATGTCCATCCATCCCCTAAGTAAAATGTATTAAAATTTATAATTACAGATAATTGAAGTTTTCTTCTCAACAAATCAGTTGGATAGGTGAGTGTTACTGCAATAGTTCTAAATAATCAAATTAAATCGTAATTACCCAGCTAATGCTCCTAGTGTTAAGTTCATCATGTCAAAGTTAGGATGATTTTTGTTAGGTAAGAAATGCCCCTTTAACAAATCAAATGAGCACATTTTAAATGCAATGTAAGGAGTAATTCCCTAAGAATAAATTTGATGAGATAAACTGTTAAATTACGACCATAGTAGCGAACCAGCCCTTATAGAGACCTATTAGACCATCAGTCAAATAAATTTTCTTGCCACATCCCCAAATACCAAGATTTCTTGTGTCTTCTCTAACTTAAATTGTTAAAACTGTTCTGATCAAATCAAGGGGGTATGTCTATATTGAAAAGTAATAAAAGATATGAATGTTAATACTAGTGTTGATGCTGTCATACCAGTAAGACCTCCACAAATTAACTTTGATGAGAAGTCTGTAGCTGATCTGTCTCTGTAGAATAAATGTTTGTAGAATTCATAAAAGAAGAACTCAAATGCAGAGAATGGTGCCACTCTTATTATGTTTGTACCATTGCCTTTAAAGAATCCTTTAAAGCCTTCTTCTTTCCACATGAAAGCAAATGATTGCATTATTGTCAATCCTTGATACTCAGCTGTTGTGCATTGTCTTAATATCTTTAGTCTCTCTAATGGGTTAGTCAATGTTCTTGAAAGAGCACCTGAAAAAGCCTATGAATTCTTAGAATTTAGAAGCTTACTCCAGTAAAAAAATGCAAATAGCTGAAATGATGCTTTTGAACAGGATCCTTTTCTAATTTTGATTCTCTTAAAGACATTTTTTTTCTATAATTATTTTTTCTTTACTATAATTATTTTATAATGAATTGTGGGGTTTTGGGGTTTTGGGGTTTGGGGG